AAGATTGTTTATTTGCATCAACAATATAAAATGTAATTAAATTTAGAAATTTGACTTTTTTTATTTTACCAACACCAATATATTTGCAAAAGTTAGTAATGACATTTCCACCCATCCTTTTTATAATCCTCAAATATAGTTGGAAGCTATTATCAGTTATGAACTTGATAGGAATCATGTTTATGATTTACTCATAGCATTTGCTTGAGAACTTAAGGTAGATTGCAGTATTTCAACTATAGGCACATCACGTTCTAGCTTAAGTTATAAATCACAGGACTTAGATGAGATTGTGCAGAAAATGATTTAGGAACAATGATTGTTGAGATGAGAAGTATAAGAGTAGAAATGCTACAACAAAATAAGATGCACTGGGCTCAACTAAATATAATCATGAGTGTATTTTTTCCTTACCCTTCTTAACCTTCTAGTTCACGATCTTTTTCTTTCTTTTTATCCTCTTTAGCACCTCTAATGTGATGTATCGAGTATATATAATTTACGTTATTGATTTGATTATATATTAATTTGAATTTTAATGGTTTCCGACTAGAATTTTAATATAGTGTTGGTTTTTTTTTTAATGTTTGTGCATGAAATTTTGTAATGGTTTCCTATCTCATTGTTACGTACTATTTATATAAATTTACTACTTAAATCCTTCAATTGTGAAAACTTATAGGTCTATGTCATCCATTTAGCATTGTTTAGTATGAAATTTATACACTTCAATTGTGAAAACTTATAGGTCTATGTTTAGTATGAAATTTATACCAGTCAATTTTTAAAAATGTATTTTTTGTTTTGGTTGTACGTTTATTTTGAGCAAGCAACTTAGGAATCATAACAAAAAATTAATAATTAAAATCTCTGATGAAATCACCAATAGAAAAGCTATTCTATTAGTTTTTTCACCGGAAATATTGCATCTATTTTAAAATTTTTTATAAAACTTATAAAATATGTAGCAATTTACCGCTAGAATAGGCAACAAAAAACTCTATCAAAAAAATAAACAACGGTAGAATTTTTTATGAAAAATCAGTAATGAAAATTGATTTTTAAGCATGAATATTTTATTGACAATTTTATCACTATTGCAAAATATCAACTAAATTAGAGACAAAATTAGCAAGATATTTTCTACCAATAGTATCTTGTTGCTAGTTCTGATGATATTTTTCAAAACAGACAGAATCTTTACTATATGCTTTTATAATATTCCATTAGTAATTTTTAATTTTCTTGTAGTGAGAAATGTTGAAATTGTAAAATGAAGGATCTTAAAGTTAAATACACATGTAAAAGCAATTACAAATATATAAAAACAAACTTTTGTTATTATTGTTAATTTTTAATGCCTTAAATAAGTATTGAGATATATAATATGATATGAATACATAAAATATTCACAATAAGATTTATTCATGTATATGATATGATATGATATAAAATACGTAAAAAAACTAATATTGATGTAGAGCTGGTTCGGGTAGATTAATAAAAAGACTTGATTATTTTTTATTAAAATATCATCTAGGTTTATTTATTTTCTTAAAGTAAAATTGGATCAATTCCTGGCTCGTGTCTTGACCAGAGATTTGGGTCAAGTGGAGCTCCTAATCGGTTCATTTTATTTTCAAAAGCTGAACAAGAGCAATTTTTTCTCCTCCACAGGCTCATTGCAGGTCTCTATAACAGAACCAGTGGTTTTATAATGGATGTTTACATTTCTTGTAGCAAAGATCAAATTTTCTGGATCACCAAATATCATCACAACAATTTGGTTGAAGTATGAACAATTCGGGTCATGATCGTATTCATTATTTGTCAAATACTAAGCCAAGTAAGAATACATAGAGCAAGAGAAAATAGAGAGACCTAAGGCCTTAAACGGTAGGTGAGGATCCCTGTAGTGACTATTTAGTGATGTGTCTGTTTTTCTCTGCTCTGCAAATAGTTCTTCATAAATAAATAAGTAAATACAACAAGTGCATGACTGATGATTGAGATTCTCCACCACTCCTAGCTTAGCCGCCCGTCATCCATTCTTTTAAAAAACAAAAAAAGAAAGAAAGTGAAGATGTGGGTGATTAGCCAAATTTAGTGGGGGTTTTATGGGTGGTAATCACAAGCATTTCTTGCATTCATCCTCCAGTCTATCAGAGCAAAAAAAACCTGTCCTGGCTATTGTTCTTCTTCTCCTTCCTATTTAACTGATCCTTTCTTTAACCAAGAAATGTATCACCAAATTTTATTAGTCAATTGCCAATAATTAAGCTTATCTTTCTACTATTAGTACAAATAGCAAAATTTCATCCCTCATTCAAAACAAAGGCCACCCTGTTCTTGTTACTGTCCATTGGTTCTATCAGAACATAGGAGAGAAAGAAAGCTCAAATGGATTTACTCTCATTCTCACAAAATCACCCCCATTATTGTGCTGCTTTCCTAAGCCTGCTCTTCATTTTCGAAGGTAAAGAGAGTTGATTTGATTTCCTGAATTGCTTTGAAACTACATTAAATTAAGTGCTGAGAAGATTTGTTCATGCTTTCCTTTTCAGGTGTTTCAGGCGCTACATTCACATTTGTTAACAAATGTGATTTCTCAGTCTGGCCAGGAATCCTAGGCAGTCCAGAACTAGACAGCACTGGCTTTGAGCTTAGGAAAGGTAGTTCTCGCTCCTTCCAAGCCCCAACAGGCTGGTCTGGTCGCTTCTGGGGCCGATCAGGCTGCAATTTCGACTCCTCAGGCCATGGTTCCTGTGCTACTGCAGACTGTGGCTCTGGCCAAGTGGAGTGCAATGGTGCAGGGGCCACACCGCCTGCCACTTTAGCTGAATTCACTCTAGGCTCAGGCTCCCAGGATTTTTATGATGTCAGTCTTGTTGATGGATACAATTTGCCAATGATTGTAGAAGTGAGTGGAGGTTCAGGGGAGTGCGCGTCGACAGGGTGTGTCACGGACCTTAATAGGAAGTGCCCGACGGAGCTGAGAACTGAGGGAGGCAGTGCTTGTAGGAGCGCCTGTGAGGCATTTGGGAAGCCTGAGTACTGCTGCAGCGGCGAGTACAACTCACCAGCATCCTGCAAGCCTTCCATGTATTCTCAAGTGTTCAAGAGTGCCTGTCCGAAGTCGTATAGCTACGCCTACGATGATGCGACTAGCACTTTTACATGTACAGGCGCAGATTACACCATCACATTCTGCCCCAATTTCCATAGGTAAAATCGTTATTATCTGCTCTTGGAGAATTATTAAAAGCATTTGGATAATCGTTCACGATTCTTGTCTGTTTATGTGAGTCTGCTCCGTGACAATTAATAAACAGGCGGCGACCGCTTTAAGTATTTTAATTAATCTATGTTCATTATTGGATATGACGTTTTGATTAATTTGGAATATATTCTTGTTGTTGCAGTCTAAAGTCCTCAAGTGATTCGCCTCCACAAGCAATCGGGGGCACAGCCATTGATGGGTCAGGGACAGAGGTAGGAGGGACGGTCACCGGATCCTCAGCACAGGAAGCTGAATTACAAAGTTCATGGCTGGCAAGTTTGGCCATTGGAGAGTCAACAGGAACCCAAACCCACCATTCTTTAGTTCTCCAATTTGCATTAGTTTTGGCCACATCTCTCATTCTTTCCAGCTCTCACTTGTAGTCACTACTGGTCTCTCACGTTCCAAGCTATTCAGCTGAGAATCAGTAACATGGAGATCGATTGGGAAAGTTGAAGAAACCCAGGTTGCAAACCACCCATCTTCCAAATTCAGCATATTTAATGTTAAACACATGTTTTAGTGT